GCTGTGGCAGGGCTCCCCAGGTTTGCCGTGCCCCCCGGGGTGCTGTGCTCCCCCAGGTGGGTTGTGCCCCCCGGCTGTGGCAGGGATCCCCAGGTGTGCTCTGTTCCCCAGGTGTGGCAGTGTGGCGGCAGCATGGAGGTGCTTCCCTGCTCCCGCGTGGCCCACATCGAGCGTACCAAGAAGCCCTACAACAATGACATTGATTACTACGCCAAGCGCAATGCACTGCGAGCGGCCGAGGTGTGGATGGATGGCTTCAAGTCCCACGTCTACATGGCCTGGAACATCCCCATGAGCGTACGCAGAGGGGGGCTGAGTCGCCGGGTCGTGGAAGCACAGCCGGGCGGCCTGGCCCCGGCGAGGCCTGGGCAGGTCTGCGGCTCAGGGCGCTGATGCTACGCCGGATCTTGGCCTGATAGCATCAGTGCCACAGGGAGGTGCTGGGGGGCCGGGGGACTGGCAGCCAGGGCCAAGGACCACCCTACTAGGACACAGCCCTGACTGAGCAGCCCCTCCTGGGAGTCGGCCTCTGGGACTACAGCAGGAGGGATCCCAGAGAGCCTGAGCGAGGCCGAGGTCAGGTCACTGCCCAAGGGCACACAGCTCATGGGGCAGAGCTGAGTTACAGGTCCTCTACAGATTTGCTGGGGATCCCCTCTAGGGAACCAGAGGGAGGCACCCTCGGCCCCCATATGGCCTGGATTTCTTCTCCAAGCTGCACCTTGGCCAGGGGCAGGGGGCCATCCCGAGGGGCTGGGCTGTAGGGCCAGAGTCCTGGGCAGAGATGGGGCTTGCACCCAGCGGTCTCTGCCTGTGCTGCTGCAGAACCCTGGAGTGGACTTCGGGGACGTGTCAGAGCGGCGGGCCCTGCGCCAGAGGCTGAAGTGCCGCAGCTTCCAGTGGTATCTGGAGAATGTATACCCCGAGATGCGCACCTACAACGACACCCTCACGTACGGAGAGGTACCGCCTGAGGGCTGGGGAGAGGGGCCATGACACCCCACCCCCTGCATGCATCTGGAGACCAACAGCAAGCGTCCAGCACATAAGCACACCGCCCCCACATGCCCTCCACCCCATGCCAGTGCTCCTGCCCCCTGTGCCCCATCCCCAAGTGTCCCCCCCCGACACCCCCACGTGCTCACCCCTAGCACACACAAGCAGGTGCAGAAGAGTCTGCGTCCACACATGCACTCCTGGGCTGCTGGGGGGACACGCCTGACATGGGGTCATCCCACAGCACTGCAGCCCCTCACCTCCCAGACACTGACAGTGCAGGGCCTGCTGTGCCCTGGGCAGTGGGGCTGGTGGGCAGTCCTGGCCCACCTCTCAGCCCTGGAGCTCCAGGCCACCCAAGGAAGATAGCCCTGGGGCTGCCCTCAACAGGTCCTGGGCTCCACCCTGCCCACGGGCCTGGCTGGACCTTCCTTGCATGTCCAGGTCAGCTCTCTTCTCGGTCATGGCTGGCAACACCAGCCCGAGGCAAGTGCCTGGATCCCACTGGTCTAAAGGGAGAGGCACCTGCACTGCCCACAGGCCTAGTGGTCCCCAAGAGCCCCAGTCTGGGGCAGTGCAGCCTCTTCACCTTGTTCAAGGGCCCACTTTTCTGGGTGGGTCTCTGGGACGGGCTTGAGGAGCACCTGGGGCTAGCGCTGCACGCTGGTTCTTGGGAGTCAGTTTCCAAGGTGGAGGGTGCTAAGGTGCCTGGGACATCCTCTCAGGCTCCTGGCTACCTCTGGGAGGGCCAGCTGGTCAGGGACCAGCGCATGGTGAGGGGGAGAGCACCCCACAGGTCCCAATCAGCTGGCTGCAGAGGGAACCCTCTTCTCCTGCCTGGGACAGTGGCTGGGGCTCTCCACTGCCCAGGCACTGGCAGTGGTGCCATGGGCTGTCCCTTTGGTTTCCTCTGCAGGTGAGGAACAGCAAAGCCAGCGGTTACTGCTTGGATCAGGGGGCTGAGGACGATGACAGAGCCATCCTCTACCCCTGCCATGGGATGTCCTCCCAGGTGGGGGCAGCAGCTGCCTCTGCTGCAGGGCTGCAGCCCGCCCCTGAGCGCTGCTCCATGGGCGGTTCCAGTCAGAAGGGCAAGGGGGCGGGGCAGGGTGTGCACCTGAAGGTGGTGGGGTGGAGAGAAGGGGAGCAGATGAGCACACTGGCTGGGGGAGGAACTTGTGGAGGCAGGGTCCGCTACCTGCTCCACGCCAGTGTCCAGAGGGCTGTGTTGGTCTGCACCAGCATGCACTTGGATGAGGCTGATCCAAGTTCTGGGAAAGAGCTGGGTGGTCCCCTGGGGGCTCCCCGGGTGTGACTGTCCATGCCCATGCCTCCCAGCTGGTGCGCTATAGTGCTGAGGGCCTGCTGCAACTGGGCCCGCTGGGCTCCACCGCCTTCCTGCCTGACTCCAAGTGTCTGGTGGACGACGGCCGGGGCCGCACGCCTGCGCTCAGGAGGTGTGAGGATGTGGCCAGGCCCTCGCAGCGGCTGTGGGACTTCACCCAGGTGGGTGCTGCCAGGGTCCAGTTGGTTAGGATGTGCAGTCTAGGCCACGCCGTTCCCTCCCCTGCCCCCTCCTGGCCCTGGGAGGGGCTTTGGGGAAAGGGAGAGTCTCCCACCCAGAAGCCTCCATTAGCAGTGGGCAGGTGTCCAGCCACAGTTCCATAGATGCTGTGGACAGAAGCACCCCTGAGCCCTTGACGGTCTGTGGGACCTGGCCCCCAGCATCGGGGCCTCACCTGTGGGCTCTAGTCAGCCGCTCACCCAGCCCCACCCACACTGGCCCTGCAAGCCCAGCTCACTGGAGTGTGCCAGACTCTGAGCCCCCATGTCAGTCCAGCTCTGCAACTGACCTTCCTCGCCCACCCCAGCCAGTCAAGGAAACCTCATCACCACAGCCCACCCAGCTCCAACTGGCCTCTTAGTCTCTTACTGCCCACTCACCTCATAGACCCTGCCCAGTACCAGTCTCCTGGGGCTTCATGAGCCACAATTTACCCTTTAGCTTAGAACTCCAAGATCCAGTGTAGGGCCAGGCAGGATCCTTCTGCTAGCCTGGGCTATGGCTATACACCCACCTGGGCCCACCTGGGCCCTGAACCTGTGTTTCCCTCCTGCCTCGCCCTGCGCGGAGCCTCATGGGCTTGCTGCTGCTCCTATGGGTGGGGACTCTGTGGCCGCTCTAGCACTTGGGCAGCTGCCTCCATGTGTAGATAAAACCTGGGGGGTGCCATTCTGCCCACCCTCCCACCAGTGGTGGCCATGGCCCCGTCCTCACACCCACACCTCTGGCTACAGGAGGGCCCCTAGGGTGAGCTGGTGGGGTGGGCTGCAGGGATGGCAGGCTGGCTGGAGAAGGACGTGAGGTGTCTGTGACACTGCCCAGAGCTGTTTGGCTTGGGTGTGGGCTACCACCTGCCGGGTGATGGTGGACAAGTCAATGTGCCAGAACCCCGGGGCACTGGTCTCAGTGGCCCGTGGTGAACCCTGGGTCCTGACCCCTCCTTGGCCCCAAGAGAGGGATGGCTGATGGGAGGGACAGAGGGGACAAAGGACAGAGGGGCCCCATCTTCAGTAAGGCTGCACAGGGACAGGCGTGGGACATGCCTGTGTGACTCTGGTCCTGCAGAGTGGACCAATCGTGAGCCGGGACACTGGCCGATGCCTGGAGGTGGAACTGTCCAGGGATGCCAACTTCGGGCTGCGACTGGTGGTGCAGCGCTGCTCGGGCCAGAAGTGGACCATCAGGAACTGGGTCAAGCCCGGGCGGCGCTGATGTCCATGACCCCCAGGCCAGAGGACGGGGCAGCTTGGCCCTGGGCCCCCCAGGAACCCAACTACTCTGGGATGAAGCTGGGCCAGTCCCGCTGGGAGGGGCCCCCATGGGGACAGTCAGCGCCGGCTCCAAATCACGTGCCTTTTCTGTGGACTTCCGGCCTGAGCTGGGCGCCAACTCTGCATGTGTTGAAGGCCTGTCCGTGCCCGTGAACTCTGATTCGACTGGCTCCCTCTGACCAGCAACGCCAGGTCAAAACTCAGCCTGTGGAGGTTGGGAGGGACACTGGGAGGAAGGGCTGCAGCCTTGCAGGCGGCCCGGGCCTGCGGGGGAAGGGGCCAGGGAAGGAGCCACTGTCCTCTGGAACCTGCAGCCCACTTGCCCGTGGGGACCCCAAGGTTCTGCATCCTCCGAGGAGGGGTCAGCAAGCGTAAGCCCTGGCCCGCACCCTTTTTATAAATAAAGTTTTATTGGCTAGGCCATGCTGTCTGTGTGCTGCGCTTATGGCTCCAGACCAGAGGCAGCTGCTGTGACTCTCCACTGGCCTTCTTCCCCTGGGGCTGCTGGCATGATCTGGATCCCACCCAGGACACCTCTGCACCCTCCTGCTTCTGGCCTGGGGAGGCAGACTGGGGGGCAGAGCCTGCAAGTGGGCATCTCTGGGCTCAGAACTCACCGTCTCTCCTCTGCTGGCTGCTTGTCCAGCTTAAATCAGGGCTTGTGCAGACAGATAGGCACTGGCAAGCTTCGGCAGATGTGCCTGTGTGGGGCTGGGTGTGGGTCTCCACCTGGGGGCTCCAGCTCCAGGCACATCTCAGTGCTTCCTGGTGGCAGTGAGACCACTGGGACGCTGAAGAAAGTCCCCACAGTGATTCCACCTCAGGTCCATGAGGGTCATTTTACAGAGATCCTTGCCCAGCCCTTAGCTACCAGTCAGACCAAGTCCCTACCTCAGTCCGTTCTTCCTGGGGTAGACACCGTGAGTCCCAGTCTGCTGAGCTCTTCCATGTGGGCTCCAGCTGGGCACCTCCAGAGCCCACCAACCCTTCCTCTGGGAGCCTCCCCCATTCCTCCTGTCCTGCTTCCCACTTCTGATGCATTCCTGCATCCCTTGTCTTGTCTGAGCCAAGAATTCAACCCAGTTCCACAAGTGCCATCCCAGCTCGTCCCCACATTGTACAAAGATGGGGGCCAAAAGCCACTACTGAGTGGCTTTGGAAGCCAAAGAAAGCGCTTGCCCACCCCTCCACTCCCCCAACCCTGTCTTTTCCCCTCCCCCTCTCCCTTGGGCAGGGCTGCTGCTCCCAGCTCATTCCCAGGCACCCACTGGGTCCTCACCTGCCTGGTGAGCTGTGTCCTCCTTTGTCCTGATGACCCATACTAGCAGCACCACTGAACAAGTCTGGGGGGCTGCACTGGGCACGCCAAAGTTGATTCAGACATTTCAAGACATTGTGGCTGGCAATGTCCTGCCTAGCCACTGAAGCGGCAGCTTACAGAATGGCTGCAGGTGCTCACTGGCCAGTAGACCAGACTCAGGGGATTGTAATGTGAGCTAAAGAAGCCGTATCTTAAAAGAAGTTGTCTCAGTGGAAGGCTCATTTACTCAATGCAATGCCCTTTTCAACAAATCTTCGTGCTAGTCTGGTTTTGCCTATCATGTGGGAGCTGACCTGGCTCTTACATGATGGGGCTGAAGAGCAGTACGAGGGCTTCCTGGTGAGACCCTTGGCTACACATCTGCCCAGCTGAGGAGCCACCACACGCCCCTCCACACTCTGGACTTGGATTCGGCTTTAGCTTTGGACAAATTCTAAGGAGAGCCTTGCCGGGGAGGGGTACACATGAAGGGGCCCTTCTTTTCAGGACTTCCTGCTCAGAACCAGCTCCACAACCAGCAGGATGCTGAGTCCAGAAGATTCTAGGTAACCTCTGGGTGCTGGTCCTACTCAAGGCTAATCCCCATGTCAGACAGCTGGACACTGATGGTGCGTAGGGACTAGGCAGGCAAGCAGCCCTACGCTAACACACAGGCATGTTCAGAGCCTTGGGGTGGCTAGGCCATGGGCGAAGATATGCTCTGGAGCCACCTGGCAGCAATTCCTCCTCCATGGCTTGTGGGCACCAGATGATCACGAACGTGTGCTGAGGTTGCGAGTTGGGCAGAAACGTGTGAGGAAAGTCAGCAGGCCAAGAAGTGACATTCAGGAAGGAAGTCCCCAGGCAGTCCCTGGGCTTAGTGTGTCTCACAGGGCCATGTAATCTCCCTCTTCTCCTCCTTTACAAAAGCAGCAGCTGTTAAGGGAACCGCATTTAAACATGTTCGTGCACTAGAGCTGACTCTGACAACTTTCCGACATAATTTAAATCTGTGATGGTCTGACTAGCTTCTAATATACCTTCCAGCAACCTCATGTGGTGATCATCCCCTTACAAGGAATAAAGTGCTTCACAATAAGCAATTACTTCCTTGCCATGACTTGGTTCTGGACACATCTGTGGGCACAGAAGGTTACAGGGTCAAGTCCCTATGATTGTGAGGTTCCTGGCACTGGACAGTGCCATGGGTGGCCCAGACAGTCACCAGGCTGCTGACCACCCTTGGTTTCCCTCTGCACACGACTCCCGCTATAGCTCAGGCCTGCAGGAAGCCAGCACCAGCTAGCTGCTCTGAGGGTGTCCAGGTGGAAGCCCATCACAGACTGGTGTGTGTGGGGGAGGGTTGCAAGCACCTGCTGACCCCTCCCCCAGAGGGCCAGCTGGCGTGTGCAGGCGCTGGGCTGCCCAGGTCCTGTCCAAGACCTCCTGCCCTCCTTCAGGGCTGCCTTGGGCTCTGTGATTTCAGGTTCAAGAATGCAAAGACCACGTTGCTTCCCTTTGATTCAGAAAAGCTGCCAGTCTCCAGCAAGGGGTATTGGCAGGTGCTGCTTGAACGGACTCCTCTCTGGGACACCTGTGGGTGCTGCTGCATCTTCCCCCCAACATGTGGAGCTCCACGTCCCCAAACTGCCTCACTGGCTTCCAGAATCCACCTACATTCTGCTACTGCTGCTGAGGGGGAGCACCTGACCCCAGCTGGGTCCAGCTCTGCCAATAGCAGCATGCTCCTGCTCTCCAGCAGGACACACTTGCATTCGAGGGAGAAGTCACCAACACCCGGAAGCAGAAGTGCTCCACAGCCACCTGCTGTCTGCTGCCCAGGATGGAGGGGGCACTCACAGGGTGCTGGCAGAACAGGCAGGGTGCTTCCTGGGAGTCTCCAAAGGAGCCGCCTGGGCTCCCAGTCTTGGGGCTCCAGGCCCAGGATACTGTCACACTAAGCTGCCCAGCCCCAGTCCCCTTGAGGCTGTGCCCGCAGGGCTGTTACTCCATTCCCTCTCGGGTTCCCTGTGCTTTGCAGCCCACCTGCTCCCATTTTCTTTGGCAGAAGAGTGCGGAGGCCCTGCTTCTGGTAAGACAGCCACTTACACCCTGAAGGAGCCACGTCCTTCTGCAATGACCTCGTGACACAGCTCTGAAGGGCAGCAGGGCCTGGTCTATGGTGGGCCTTATCACACTCGGACACAAAGCAGGCCCATCGAAGCTGTGCCCCAGGGCTCTCCTGACAAACCTTTTCTGTACGAAATGCCTCTGCTCTAGGATTGTGGTGCGTAAGTGTGGCAAGAGTGGGAGCCATGAAGGGTCTGGGCCAAGCGAACAGAGGTGCCATGGCTCTGGGAGGGGAGCTGGGCTTACAGCCAGGCAAGGAGGCTGCAGTGGGTGGGCTCGCTGTCTCCCCCAACCCTGCAGGGATGCACTGGGCTTGTCAAGGAGGCCCCTCAGTAGACAGCCATACTGAACCAGTCCGGCCTGCAGCTGCCAGCATCACCTCTGCCAAATCCTGAGCAGGACCACCGGCCCACTCACTGGGGCTTGCCCAGAGTGAGTGCGGCCTCACCCCAGGCTGCCTGAGAAAGGTTGTCAAAAGGTGGACTTGAGGGCTGTGGGGGACATGGGGTGCTGAAGAGGGTGACACAGTGTAGCCTATGTGAGTCCTGGCACGGGCCCGGGGAGGAACCAGGTCTTTGCCCCAGTCCCCCAGAAAGAGTCAGTTTCCTACAAAATTGTTTACTGGGGGGACAGGCCCAGGGTCAACTAAGTGTGAAGTACTGGGCGCAGAGGCTATCCTGCCCACCCAAGAGGCCCTGGGCTGGGATAAATTCCAGTGGCACCGACTTGGGTCCCGTCTTCTTCAGGTCCTGCTCAAAGAGCTGCAAGAACAGATGAACAGATGCTCTCAGCTCACGGCCTCTGACCTGCCCCTGCTGGCCCCCAGGCCCCGCCCCTCACCTCGAAGGTAGTGAGCTCCAGAAGCGGTGCAATGGGGACCTCAGGCACCGACAGGGCCTGGTTGATGACGCTGGCGGCCTTGGACACCTCAGGGTGGTAATGGTGCTGGAGAGCCTGAGGCAGGAGAGATGTCAACTCTCGTCATAGAGGTAGAGAACATCAAGGGCCCCCAGGAACTGGGGTCATAGGTGAGGTAGGTCCCTGGGAGCAGGGCAGGGCCTCTGGGAGGGGCTGCAGAGGGGGCTCAGAGCCTCACCTGTAGCTCCCACAGGGAGCTCTCCAGGGCTCGGCTCTTGGCGGGGTCCTCCTCTCCGGCATCATAAGGGTCAGCGTCCAGCTCTATGAACAAGACCCCAACTCTGTTATGATAGGCTGTGCAGGCCTCGGGCAGGCCAGGCCTCCCAGACTGGGGCCACACTCACCAGAGCCCTGCGGGCGGTGCACCAGGACGCGACAGGCTGGGTGTCTGCGCAGCAGGTTGCAGATGAAGGGCAGAACCATGAGCAGGGCCTCAGGGGGTGCCGTCAGGGCCAGGCGGGCCAGGCGCTTGGCAAAGGCAGCGACCAGGTAGGCTGGCAGGTGGCTAGGCAGGGCAAGAGACTCACTGCCTGCACGCCAGCACCCCTGCACCCCTACATGCAGTGTGGCCCCCAAGTGGGACAGAAAGGACTCACCAACCCTGCCCTCAGAAGCCAGGCCAGAGTGCCACCTCACCCCACACTCACGAGGATGACAAGAAGAGGTCAGCCAAGTGGAAGAAGCGTGCACGGTACTTGACGTGGAAGACAGATGGGTCCAGGAGGCCATAGAGCTTCCGGTAGAAATCAGGGTACTCCCTGGAGCACACAGTGGTAGCCAGAGAGGAACAGGAGACAGAGGAAGAGGTGGGAGCAGGTTGAGGAGCCAAGTTAGATCTTGGCACCCCCAACTCCTTCTCCCTAAGGAGGTCTAGTGGGCTCCCCACAGGTCCCTGAGCAAGGTAGGGACCTGGAGGGGAGTGGCGTAATGTGGGGGGGCACTCACAAGTTGTGCTTGTGGATCAGGATGAACAATCCATTCAAGGCCAAGAGGCTGAGGGCGCCCCCTGCACACAAAGACCATCCTGAGCACTGCCCAACCTTGCCCCCTCACAACAGAGAGGTGCCGACAGGGGGGACCCTCTGGCACCCACCTAGGTCATAGGCACGGGTGAGAAAGTCAATCATGATGCTGGGCTGGGCCAGGTGTGGCAGGATGGTGTCGTGCAAGATCACCAACACCTTCTTATAGAGGCTGAGGGGTAGCTGGGGGTGGAGGGACAAAGCAGCAGGTCAGGGTACAGCCAGCCACGCCCCTGAACCTGGGGATCCTTGCCTGGCACAACTCTACCTTGTGCTGGAGAAAGCTGAGCCACATCTGCTGGAAGGCTCTTTTGTGCTCCTGGAGGATATAGATGCTGCTGAGACCACCCCCAGGGAAGGGTGCCCAGCTAGGAATCCCCCCCACGCTACCTGGTCCAAGAACAGTCCTACGTGCATCTTACCCTCAAATGAACGACTTTCCATTTGTCTGACAGCTCTGTGGGGAGAAAAAAGAATGGGGTCACTCGGTGCCCAAAGAGATTTGGGGCCTGGGTACCCCCATCAAGGCCCCTCTTCCAAGACTCTCACCTGGGTGCTGCACATAGAAGTTGGAGAGGGTGCCATCCTGCCAGGGCAGACTCACTGCAGAGAGCAGTGCGAAAGTGTTGTTCCAGAAGGTGAGTGGTACCTGCCGGTGGCCAGCTTCAGCATCTGGACAGCTGCTGGTGGTTGCCACCCCTCCCTCAAGGATGGACCCAAACGGCTCACCTCTGGGTGCCCATCAGTGACCTGGGCTATGGCCTCTGAGGCGGCCTGCATGGCGTGGTAGCGGATGTCATCATGTTCCAGGTACTCCCGGAACTGGGACAGGAGCAGTGAGCAGTCCTCCTCCAGCGATAGCAGGCCTCCCACCACCACCTGGATGCAGAGTGGGAAGGGAGCACCTCCACCCAAGGGTTAGCTGAGTCCCTGCCCAACCTTACCACCCACAGATGCCCCCAACAGCTCAGCGCAGGCCAGAATGGAGTGATACCTGTCACCGCGGGGGTAGGGCCCATCTGGTCTAGCCAAGGAGAATGTTAAGACCCACCCAGGCCCCTCACCTTGAAGAGCGGGCGGGGGAACAGATAGTGGCCTTCCCACTTCGGTTTCTCCAGTGGATACGTCCCTTCCATCTGCACGAACTTCATGAGTGTTCCAAGAGCCAGCTCCTGGAAGGAGGTAGGCACAGAGTGAAGCCCTCCCTGCAACAGTCCCCCAAGGGGTTCCTGGGATTTCCCCGCACTCAGGCTGCTGTCCACGAGGTGATGTTGCTAGCAATGCGAAGTAGAATGAAGCCATGCCAGCAGCTGCTGAGAGCAGAGCAAGTACCTCACCTGACCAGGAGGAGGTGGGGACAAAGGTCCCAAGTACAATCCCAACTCTGCTGTGCAGGAAAAGAGGGAACCTAAGAAGCAAGGACCAGGAGAGGCCGAGGACCCCAGACCTACCTTGACCTCGAAAGGGGAGTGGGCCAGGAGCTCTCCCAGGCGGCTGCAGCAGCTGTGATAACGGTGCCTCATCCACACCTTGTACTTCCGCGTTGCCCCTTGAGACCCTGTGGGCAGCAGGCTGGGTAGGTCCCCCACATATCTACCCCTCTTCACCACATCCTGCTCAGCCTCACTCGAAAGGAGTGGAAAGGAACACCCATGACTCCAGACGTGGGGCAGGCCCATTGCAGCCCCCCAGCCAGGGGAGGCGCTCCTGCCCCACAGACTAGGTTGCGCCAGGCTTAGGATAATCTTGCCAACTCCAGACAACAGTGGGAGCCTGCTGCCAACATCGTGGCCAATTTCCCCAACCCACAAGGGGGCTCACCTCACCGTGGCAGCCACCCTCCATCCTCACCTGCCATGACTGTCTCCTCAGGAGGCAGCTGGCCCACAAATAGTTCTCCGCGTTCCAGCAAGGCCCCGAAAAGGCGACTGCAGGCGCGCACCGCTTCCTGGATCTCCTCCTGATCCTCGGACTGCGGGGAGGTCGGTCGCGGGGCGTTGCGGGGACTGCGGCTCAGCCGCCCACTGCGGCTCCAGCCCCCGCGCACCCAACTCCGGCCCTGGCCGCCCCGGGCCGCCCCGGGCCGCGACCCACC